AGTCCCTTTCCTTTTAAGCAACAAACTGGTGTTCCTCAAGGCTGTGTGTTACTAGCCCAGCAATTTTTGTTATTTAAAGAAAGGCTGCATATGTAAGTTAAAGGACTTCTGCTCTGAACTCTCGTTTTGTCTGTGAAAATATATGTTTTATTGAGCAATAGGTGTATTTAATGTTTTTTTGTATTTTTAAATGATTACAGCATTTTTATACTAGCAAATGTAGTCCAAGACAATTTTACCCTAAGGGAATAATAAAGTGTATATCTATCTGTCCCTGTATTCTAAAAGCATAGTCACATCAAGGACATTATTGAGTTTGGGAGCAGCTTTCTTAGGTCTCTATAATCCAAGAGGCAAACCATTAAGATTTTTTTTGCAGCATTGAAAGTATACTGACAGACAAAAAAAAAAAGCAAGATTTTATGGTAATACTGTGGTTAGCACCCAAGTAGGCAGGATGTTGAGCAGCTTTTCTCTGCCCCAAGTTGCAAACAGTCTTTGAAATGTCAAAGTGAGGCATGGAAAACTACAGTAACATGTTTTTCTATGTTTAAATTTACGCTAGTGAATTGGAAAACAATACATGGGTCTGAATGAGAGAAAATGAGGAGGATTTTGAACGGCTATACCCGACACATTTGATGTATGCTCTCCTGTTCTGAAAATTCGGAGCATTTTTGGATTGAGGGTGTGGATCGTAATGTTCTTTGTTCTTTGCTACACCATCTAATTTATTCCTAACATTAAAGACTAGACTGGTGTTGAAATATAAATGTTCTTACAAAATGTATCGCCTGAATAAACCAGGAAGCAGGTCACTTTTACAGAATTTCCATTCTATTCTATTCTAAGCTAAAACCTTTCCTTATTCTTCATGCATTCAGCATGCTGAAGTGAGTGGATCTTCAACAGTGCTAACATCTTTGTGCAGCAAGAGGTTAAACAATATTTTTTCTGAGTCAGCGCTAGGATACGCTATCCCTGTGTCAAACTTGCATTGATTGTGTAGCAGTTGTGCATGTGTGGTTTACATGGTGTGTGAAAGCTGTGGTGCTCGAGCAGCAGAATAAAAAAAATAATCTGTGACATCTTAGCCTTCGCACCATTCAAAATGAAGTGATTAAAGTCATGTTTTAAAGCAGAAAGTATTGTGAGGGAGGTATATGTGTGTCACGGTGTCACAATTTAGAGGCAGGATATAGAGAACATTTAAGATCCTTAAAGGAGAGCCTAATAGATTACCTCAACCATTTTTCATACATCTTGCATTTATGCATTTCACAGACACCCGCCTTCAACTGTGTAAAACAAATAATTAGTGTATATATGCATACATAAATAAAAGGCATGATTAATGGCCTGATTCTGCATTTATTACAGACCCTAAATGCAGCTTCTAGAGATTTAGATGCATTTATAATATTCTTTTATGTGGGTGGCTATGGCAGTTTGAGATGCACAAAGTGCAGCTTACAGATCCGAAAAGAACTGATTATATATTGATCATATATTGCAGATTATATAAAGATAATCTGCATGCAAAGTTAAATCCCAGTGATCTGTAAAGACAGGGAGCGAGAAGCGTACCTTTAGCATGCCTCTATGGAAAAAGGTGAGGCCCTTATATAGCATGGCGATGGGCTGATTCTTCTTCAGCTCTAAGGATCTCTGAAAGTCCTCCATGGCTGCAACATAATCCTGGATATAGAACGGAAGTGGCAATTTACCACATGGGAATATAAGGAGCAGAAACATGCAGATCTGAAGGTCAGACCTCAGAAATAAAGAGCAGAGTTCCTCTGTGTCTGTAGAGACGAGCTGATGGCTGCAGCTGGATAGCTTTGGTGAGGTCACTCAGGGCCTCGCTGATCCGACCCAGAGGGGACAGAATCTGCACAAGGGACATTCAATGAATGAGAAGGGAGCATGTGTTGGTGTTTACGTGGAAGACGACTAACAAAAAAATAAACTAACCCAGGAGCAGTTTAGATACTTGAAAAAAAAAAATGGAATTAAACTTTTCAGTTGTCTCTAGCATATAAAAAAGATCCAGGGCGGCCATTTTCGGTTTCATGATTTTCTGGTTTATTACAACAGTTCTGCATGAAGTTGAGAAAGGGTCGCAAAGGGGAAGTTGTTGATAAAACAGCCTTAGATACCTGAGGAGGCTCAGATCAGATTTCAAGCCTTTGCTCAGTAGGTGCTGCAACACATTAGTCAACTATTAACTCAGAGCTTACAGGAGCTTGTGCATCCATTATGTGCACTTTCCACAGGTAATGTGCTCTGTTACGCAAGATATTCACATATAAGACATTCTTCCTCATCTTTTGCTTTAAACCAAGTAGCAGATTCTAGCAAATTAGTAACACAAATGCTGCTCCAATATAATTATGCATACACACATAATTATGCATACACACATGCACAGTGCACTTTATGCAAACTTAAAAACATGCAAAAACATCAGTAATAAATGCATCTTTTAGGGAAGTAAAATAATCTTAGACAAAACAGAAGATATTCAAGTAAGTAATCTTTTTTTTTTATTAACAGACACACAATGATTGTACAACACCTAAAAGAACTTTTTTTTGTTATTCCCTAATAATTTTATTGTATAAATTTTAAGTCGAAAGCTTCTAGGAATTTTTTTTAAACACAAAGCTATAACTTCCTCTTTTCTTGGAAAAGAGTGGCATGTTTCAGGTCCTCTTGTAGACTTTATCTACACTGTGATGTTCTATTTAGGAGGCGTGGCAGTAAATCTCCAATCAGGTGGAGTGGAGCTTGCTTAACATTAACAAGAGGTTCAAACCTTAAGCAACAAACTGCAGGTGAAGGTGGTGTTGATTACAACTGAATGGGGAGAAAAACTATCTTTATGCAGACCTGCTTTTTCTTTTACGAAACCAGTTTCCTGTTCAGATATAAAAAGCAAAGTTCATACAGCTTCACTTAATACAGTTCAATAAATTAATCTACATCTGATATTAACTCCTATCTGTATATTTTATCTTGTATTTCTATAAAAATTATAGTTTTATTATTATTATTATTATTTATTATTACAACTTATTGCTACGATCTGTGTGCATTATTTTGTGCAAATTTATCCACTGAAGGAAAAAAATTATTTTGATCTATTCTATTCTACCCATTGTTAGGTAAAATGGAGTGTCATGATGCTGTGGGCGTACTGCTCTTCCAAACCCCCTCTGAATGTGCTAAGAAACTGGGAATAAGGCTACATTTATACTGCAGGCCTTGATGCTCAATTCCGATTTTTTTTGGTGAAATCTGATTTTTTTTTGCGTTGCCGTTCACATTTCCAAATATATGCGACTTGTATGTGATCTCCTGTGTGAGCTGCAGTCATACAACGCAAGTGTCCCGCATGCGCAGTAGAGGACGCAATGATGTCAAAGGCAAGCGTGCTCTGTGTTTACGAAATAAACATGAATGGTAGCGCGAGAGCGCATCGATCGATCTTTCCCAACCTTAAAGGGAAACGCCGTTTTTTTTTTACATTTGGCCCTTGATTTTACGTTATTACATCAAGTTCTACTCACCCATATAAGTGTTGTGTCATTAGGAGCTGTTCTGAAGATATTCCGTTTTGTTATATCCAAGTAACGTCGTCCTTTGGCCAACAACTTGAAGGCACAAACTAAACTGTTCATAATTTATTCTTTATGGTACGCCAGCATTCATAACATGTAGGCGAATCACTGTCCCCCAGACATCCGCGGTTATATTTTTTATATTTATATCTTTTAAAAACGAAGCAGCACGTGTATGACATCCTCCTCGTGCGCCGGCTACCGTTCATTTTTCCTGTCCGCTGAACTGCTGCTAGTTTTACTCATGTCTGGAAGATGTCTAGTGCTGCTACCACAGATGATCTCGCTCTGGAAATGGAATTGAACGATTCAGATTAGCTAGCTGAATGAATAGAAGGGGTAGAGCGTAGCCGCCTGTGGCCCGGGCTGCCTGTCACAACTCCAGTCCACATGCGCGGATGACGTTATACAAACGCCGCTTCATTTTTAAAACATACAACTATAAAAAATAGAACCGTGGATGTCTGGGAGACAGAGATTCGCCTACATGTTATGAATGCTGGCGTAGCATAAAGAGTAAATTATGAACAGTTTAGTTTGTGCCTTCAAGTCGTTGCCCAAAGGAAGACGTTACTTGGATATAACAAAACGGAATATCTTCAGAACAGCTCCTAATGACACAACACTTATATGGGTGAGTAGAACATGATGTCATAACGTAAAATCAAGGGCCAAATGTAAAAATACGGTGTTCCCCTTTAAAAACTCAATTTTTTCAAGATGGTTAAACATAAATACTACTCTCAGTATTATCGTCCGACATGGTTGTTGTTTTACTTCCTGCTTCTTCGTAGCAACACACAGAATAGTGACCTATTTCGCGTATTAATGGCATACAGGTCGGATGAATGCGACCTGTGGTCGCATTCGAAAAGATCGGATGCGTATCAGATTCAGGACCACGTAGCCAAGTTGCCTGGGTCGCATTGGAGAAAAATCGGAGCTGTGTTGTTAAGACAGTCATGAAAAGTTCAGATACAGGTCACATATGGGCAAAAAAAAAATCGGATTTGGGTCACTTCAGGCTGCAGAGTGAATTTAGCCTAAGTTTCTGACATGTCATTGAGAAGGAGAAATATCCAATAGATTCGCCAATAAAAAAAAACATCTAAGTCCTACTTCATGAAGAACTCTGTGGGGTGAAGCATTAGACTCTAGAGCATCTTTAGAGATTTTCCAAAAAGGAATCAAACCAACTTCGTGTCACCAGAGATTCAAATATTTGTGGTAAAAACAAACAGTTCTTAGTGTGTATTTTTCCCTCAACTGCATATAAGCACTTTAACCAAAGGCTAAATTTCCTGCTGTATGAAAGATTAATTTATAATTTTGCATATTTTCACCATGTGTGCCAGTTGTATTAGAGGGCTTAGTAAAATGCAAACATATCAAAATAAAAAACTTTGATTCATTTGATTCACATGACCTCAAACAGTTTAAGCCTCACCTCCGCTCTCTGCTCATAAACCTCTGGCCAGTTGGGCTCGAGTGTGATGACCCGGTTAAGCTCGTACAACGCCAGGTCAGCATTCTTTATGTCCTGGCAGGAAGATGAAGCTACAGTTTATTTGAAAAGCTAAAAATGCAGACAGCTTGAAAGAAGCAACTTAAACCACAGAGATTGCTTTAGCCCCGAGCTTCTGAACAGAAACAGACAGATTTTTTTTAAGCCAATGCCGAAAATTTTGTCACGAGTCTAACTGATCACCGATGTCCATTTTCTTTTCTTTGTTGATATTGTTTTTCTGCATTAATTTAAAAGATAAAATGAAACAATGTAAACTCTAAAAATCTCAAACTTTTACACTGGTCCCCTAAAAAATCTAAACATTATTCAACAGATCAAACAATACATTAGCATCTGATAGCAAGACAAGGGCTTTACATGATCACCAGGCAAAATGCAAGCACATATTGGCTGATACAAAAAAAAAAAAAAAACCTCCACTAATATCGGCCCAAAATATCAGCTGGTGAATTTACTGCCATATCTCTAATTCTTCTTCTGGCAAATTTACATTAGATCTAAAGGAGGAATCTGTAATAATAAAAAAATAAAAATAAAAAAAACAGAAGTACAGAAAAAAAATCATATAGCATAACATTTCCTCTTTTGATATTCCGATAAACGAAGAAAGGAATTTACCGTAAACATGTGCATTATATTCATGACAACAGGGACCCTCATAAATAAGAAGAACAGGCTTTAAGTTCACATTCTGAGACCGAATAAGTTGTTCTTTTAATGCAAAATTAAAGTTTCTGCATTACCCGCTCGGCAAAAGTCAAATTTACTTGGATGTAGATTTTTGTCTCTGTTGATTCATAGAAAAATAAACTCTTAAATAAGCTCCTTTGATGTTTCATGGAGCTAAATGACTATTTTAAAGTCTCATATTTTTAAAAACGTATTAAATTTAGCATAAGAATTATAAAACTTTACATTAACTAAAAGTAATTTCTTAAGGGGGAATGAATAAAGAAAATTCGTAGCAACTTTAAACTAGCCAGCTGAGTTGTGTATTGTGCTGCAGCCATTCACTGCAGCTGGATTTTGCTGCACTCACCTGCAGGCTTTTCTTTCCGTAGGCTATCCCTCTACCATAGATGGCACTGACTAACTCAGGGTCACTCTGAATTAAAGATAAAACATGTCAGATGAATATCAGCTTTGTTTCTATAGAATCATAAACAGCTTTAAATGGCAACAAAAGCACATTTTAAAGTGAGTTTTTAAAAGTTACATGTTCACACACCTGTAGTAGCAGAGAGAAATGTTTAATGGCTTCATCATAAAGGCCATTTCCTATTAAAACGTAGCAAATAGCTGCAAAAGAGACAAAAAAGGTAAAGTGAATAAAATAAGGGGTGCAAGAAAACATGGCATTGATGGTAAAGCATGTGCTAAACCTCACCAAGTTCCTCGTTTGTGTTTTGGTTGTCTACAGGGAAGGGGATTTTCTTTTGCTCTATAAACAACTTGGCTTGGTTCTGTGGAAGATCAAGAACAGACAAATAACACCAACACAGGAAGGAGAAATGACAGAAATACATAAAGATATCACATAGAAACGCAAAGCTAAAAACAAAAAGTGGAACAGTGGTTTCCTGTGTGAGGAGGACTCAGAAATGTCGGCCGCTTTGGCTCTTAAATCTATAGATACCTTAAGAGGCTCTTTGTTGCTGTTTTTTTAGGTGGTGGTGGTGGGCCTGATGTGATTGCATAGATTTCTAACCCCTCCTATTTAATGGACGCTGCTGTGTTCAGAATATCCACCACATTCACACCTTGATTCAAAGTGAGTCAGAGGCAAAAACCGCCGGCTTTCGCTGACAGAATTAGACTCATCTCAGAGCAGAAGGCATGCATAGTTTTACCAGAGAGAGGGACCAAATCCAGTTTTGGATTTGGTCCCTCTGGTGTTTTTAAGAGGAGGAAATATAACGAGACCAGGGTCAAACGCTTTGCCATTAGTGCACATCAACCAATAGAAGCCCACATTGGCTCAAATGGTTCATCTTTATTATTAGAAGCCTGAAGGTACGGAAGAGGATTAGGGCCACTGGAAAAAAAAAAAAAAA